ATGCAATACCAAAATGTGTAGTGAATATCCCAGACATTGCGATGTTTGACTAACTACTTGACTTTCACCTTAGTGATAACCGCTATAAAACAATGTGATAAAATGCAATGACCAAACTTTGCACCATGATGATTCTATGTTTCCTTTGCATATCCACCCTGTAGGTCTCGTAAACTTATGCTTTTAATACAACCATACACTACTGAACTATTGAACATGGGTGCACACTCCTAAATCCTACTGTTTGTTGAATAAGTAATCCCAACCCATCTAATGTCATCCCACTCTGTGCGCTCATCTGTTGCTGTCTCAGCGGATTCGGTATTGGTTAATTATGAGACGATACGCAATTTTAGTAGCGTTTGCACCGGTTAAATGCAATTTGAGTTCGTTAACAGCCCCCATGCGAGAACTGTGGAAGAAAAGGTTTTTCGTGTGGAGGGATTTAAAGATCTTATAGATGCTTGAAAAAGTCATAGATGGACTGTATACTTAGACTATATTCTTGGTCCTTAAGTGGTTCTGAGTATATTGGAATGTTAGCCCACACCAGTGGGAATACTTGCATTCTCTATCGCAGTACGATAGCTGGTTTATTATTTCATGGACTGGTATCGCAATTGTTCATATGGAACGCATAAAACGCTTTTCCAAAAGGCACGAAAACAGCTCCATTCAAAGATGGACTGTTTGGTTGTTGCTGACTCCCAATCTGCACTCCACGACGCGTTGCGCCCTAGTTTGCAAACATCAAATGTAGATATCATGAGCTGGGAATAGAACACGACACGTAGTGGTTAACGCCTGTAGCCAAAGTTAACCGAGGTCACGGTTGAGAATACGTGTCGCATCAAAAAGTATGGCGAGTGCTCAAAATGGGACAATCATTTCCAATACATCCATCAAACACTAAGAGGCAAAAGGCAGCTAGTTAGCTGCTGGTTCTTTTCAGCAAAAAGAGAGGTTGCCATCCGGTTTCAGGATATGGTCATTTGAACGCGAACAAAATGTTGTTAGCCGCTATCAAGTCCTGACATTCCGCAATATTGACACTCTGTGTGGATTCTACTAAGCACGTACCCATGATCGCCTCAGAACTAACCACCTTGGTTGATTGTCCATGTCATTACGCACAACCCATCGATTCTCTTGTATTTCTCATCTCAATTGATTTGCGCTTGTTGTAATAGACTGACGATTCAGTAATGAAAATGGTCCTGTGGGGCAGCTGTTACCGCAGTACACCTGAAATGTCGCACTAAGCACAATCATTACTATTATGGCCAACCAGACTGCGCAATAAACTTTCATAGTAAAATCATACGTAGCCTAATAACCATTAATCACCCCTCACAACGTGACCATTTTGACACTTAAGCACTTGGGTGCGCAGCCCTTGGGTCTGCATATCAAAATCAACGCACAAAAGAAATGTGATAGTTTGCAAAACAGTTTCCGATCCATAACTTCAGGGTACATTCCACTGGTAGACTGTATAAAAACTATGAGTCAGAAGTTCATAATAAACATATAATAATAAATATGATTTTGCATTCGTGCCACTACTCACATGTGCATATGTTGTGTACAGAAGTTAAATGTTCATCGGAACAGCAATACTTGCGGCTAAAAGACGGTGTGTTCCTTCATACCATCCCTTAAAATGCTACATTAAGCTTCTTTTCTCCAATTGTCTACAAGAACAATCCATAGGTTTGACAGCTACCAGCTGTTAGCGCTGTATAAATATATGTATATATATCATTTATTGAAAACTAGTAAAACAAGGTGACTACCACCTTGCAGCAAATAGTACGAGCTCTCTTTATTGCAATGCCCATACTAACACTTATTAACCAAACAAAACTTGTAAAGTGGGTGCTTCTTAGCCTGTATTAAATCCTTGTGATTGGTTTATTCCGTTGTACTAAACAAGTACCATAAATCGCTAACTGAAATTATCTAAGACAAGAAGAATTTAGCCGGTTCGGTCCATTGCCAACAACCCTTCTGGCTGGCAGCATGCGAACTGCCTAAGAGAAAGCAGATGATCTGGAAAATTGTTTAACTGAAAAATACGTAATCAATTCATAACTACCCTTGATTTGCGTGGATTCGGCTTCATCGTTATTGCTAAGGACGAACTTGGTAGCGGTACTGCGGCTGTTAAGATTGTACGTATTGAACTACAACATACTTCTAGATCACAAACTCTCTATTAACATTTAGAGCGCCGTGGAGGTCAGATGTACTGGTCGGTCGTATGCCTGATCAAAGAGCTCCGTTGGATCCCTCCACGGGCCACACTTGTTAGTAACGAACAGTCTAATCAAACTAACTGAGATTGTCACACAAGTGTCCAAGTGCCGGGAGTTCACATACACGAGCTATGTAGACTAAAATCAAATAGGTTATGAGTCACGCGACGTAGGATTGAATTTGTTACTCAGTGGGAAACAGAGGTGCGCAACCATCTCATAGGCATTACTAACGCTTTCGCTCTGCACCAAACTAGTTACACGCACGACCTATATGATATTTCCTTCTAAATTAAATACTTTAACAAGGAAGACCGCTTTGTAATAACTTACCAGTGCGCAAGTTTGAAGAAGGATTAGTATTGCCCATAACGAATGATAGTTACTAAGTACTAAAGTTCACTGCATCAGGAAACATGCAAAGTAAATACAACAACGACTTGCTACAATTGGTGTAATAGTGTAGTGGGGCATTGGAAAAGTTGGTGAAGCCGCATTTTACCTGATTTTATCTCGATGCATATTTCGGAAAACTAACACCAATGGCACATACGTTTAATACATAACCACTTAATACTGAAAGCGGTTGTTTACAAAATATTTCTCAGCTGATTTTAACGACACAAGCACTTTTCTTCCACGCTCTGGGCACACAAATTCCAAGCAGGTGTTCACGAAAATTTGGATGGTGTGGTATCTTTGGCACTTTCCGCAACCTGTCTGTCGCAAATTCCTACATTAGCATTTGCCACAGGTCAAAAGTGAAACTGTGGACGAAACATGTAGTGCATGCAAGCTACAACACGCGGTCATCTTTGGTTAACTAAACATCACTAGGATAATTGGGATTAGGTGAAAACTACTCTGTAATATTCCTCTGGTTCAGCTTTTTAAGCTCATCCTTGTACAAATGGCACAGCGGATGGTAATACACCCACTAAGCTGTAACGCAATATGAAAATCTCGTAGGTGGCTTAATGCACATATCAAAACCATCAAGTGGGAAGACGGTCTAAAGGAAACAGCGATTGAAATAAGGAAGAAATTTGCATGATTTATGCCGGAGACTACCTAGTATGTAAGAGTCAGAGGAAGAGACAAAGGCAATAGAAGCAACTCTTATCCAACTCAGACCTGTTAACGCGCTACAGGAATGTTCATGGACCAGCTACAAATGAAAAGAACATCCATCTTCTTTACTAACGTTTTCAGAACCCTAAAATTGCTCAACAATTGCGTAGCCTTTATTTCCCAAGTTTATCCAATTGCGTTCCCCAACATTTAACTATGGGAATGATGCCAAAATCCCAAAAATGGACTCATTATGAATACATTAGTAAAGAACAATATCAATTCTGTCAAGAGTACTAAAACGACCTCAATCTTATGCACAAGTAACCATTGGTGCACTCAATCTGCATAGAAGACTAATCACAAGAACCGTCTAAAATGCAAGTACAACTCTAGAAGCCGAAATATTACTACACCTAAGGAAAAGCTTAGAAATGTGACCATTTTGAACGTATGGGCGAAGTTTCATTAACCTACGCATTATGAACGAAATATGCGGTAATTGTCTGTCCGTGAGTGAATTCATGTGCTCTTATGCAAACAACGTATGATACAACTATTTCCATATATTCGTGTTGGTGCGCAAGCTATAAAACCTGTGCTTTACTGGATTTTAGTTCGTCCTAATTTATTGGTGGGAGGTTCCTAAATATGTTTGTGTGTAAAATTGATCTTGTGTTTGAAGAACATGCAGTGTAATCGACGACCGTGTAGCTAGCTATCGCATTCGTGTGTTCTAATAATTTGCGAACAATCAATTCTGCCTTTTTAACAATAAGCAATCGCACGATGGATCGCCCTGAAAATAAGTAATATATCTTGCCTACTAGTAAATGTACCAATTCCTATATTAGCTTGAATTAAATTTATAAGGTGGCGTTTTAATAACCTAGCTTTTGATATATGTAACCTTATTCTGACGAACATTTGATTCGCATAATTTAACACTGCGAATTAAGTATAGACGAGGGAGCTATAACAGAATTTAACTGTCTTTGTCATATGTGTAATGCTTTGGAAATAGGTTGATATTAGTCCGAAAAGATATTCCACAATTCCATAATACTTTCCAATATCCATATCTCATGTTGATCAACTAGTGTAACTCAATGGTAACAGGATATCGGAACTTATAAAATGTCATATTTTGCGACAACTAAAGTGGCAAACACAAAATATCATCACGGTGAAATACAACTGAAATGATAGCGCTCTTTTTACTGCAGGCACATTGCTATAGTCGCCAAACAGCATGCCACAATACATTTTCATTCCTACGCCACAAATCATTTTAAAGCATTTCCACAAAACTTTCCTAATGTCAGAGATCACAACCGTAGCGGAAGCATCTACCTACATGCTACCGTTGGATTCATTTTTCATTAAAATTTTCAAGTTAGGAAAGGAACACCAAACGTATATACATGCACATTCGTAAACATTATTAGGTTTATTGCCATTTCACCAACCTGAAAATAACCGATTGAATGTGTTGTGTGCGCTATTTCGTGCCTTTTTAATATCTTATAGACTAATGACATTGACCAAGTTATCAGACACAGACATGATAAACTAAGCACGCGGTGTTTACGGTAAGTTTCGGCTTTTGCACTCGGCAAAAATGTTCATGAATATAGACTGGCTACTCATTAAACTTTTTCAGTTACTCACCACACCGCCGCCAGCTGAATGAACCAACACTACATCGCCCCGACGGATGGATGCCAAGCGATGTATAAGTAAGTAGGCAGGAATATACGCGAATCCCAGTACTGCTGCTTGCGAGGCTGACAAGGTATCTGGCCAGGGGAGAGTCAGCGTTTGGGAAGGTTCAACGGCTGGTTTTGATTCATCCGTCTGTGTTTCCTCTGGTGACCCTGATGGCACAATCAGCTTTTCTGTCCAAGCTCCTGCATCCGAGAGGACCACAACTTTGTCACCAATCTGTAGACAAATGCAAGATTGCGAGCTAAAGAGGTAAAGGCAAGTAACGCAAACTATGTCTACCTATGGGGTGAACTGAATGAATACACAGTCTTAGTTAATTCGGTTGGTGTTCTATTGTACTGTAATCATTGACTGCGCAAGTCTAGCATATGTGTTCTGCTTTCTACAGATAGGTACCTAACAAAATTGCAAGTATGGGTTGCAATTTATAAGGATACATCTTCTCAAGGCATATTAATTAGAAAGGAGTATCATTTCTGAATATTATCCACAGAAGACGTAATGTATCAAGCTGGACAAACTGATTTTTAGGCGGATAGAAAGAATGAAGTTAAGTGCTAATTTAATGAACAACAATGGAACGAAAAAGATGTTTTATATATACATTATCTGATACTCTTAGTTGACGCATCAGGGTATCCAGCATCGTGCATAAAAGAGTTCCACATGGCTGCGTCCCTAAATCACACAAATCGTATTTTGATTACAAGTATGATCTGATCGCCTTTGAAAAGAACAGTAATTATTTTATAACTGACTGGTGTGTCCCCTTAAAAGTAACTTGGGGTTACCTGAGTAAATGCAATGGAAAGCGTCATGACATTTTTCTTAGACAATTCTGAACAGATTTGCGTTAATTTCTATAAACATTGATCTGACAAAAGTGTTCCCTTGTATCACACAGGTTAGAAACACTTGTGTACAAATTTAGATACACCAAGACATTCCGAACTTTTGGGTTCGGCAATTATGGAATACGTGGATTCATTGCTTTTTTAACGAAATACGTGCACTACCTTATTTGAGACATCATATTACACTGAAAATATCATATGGAAGATAGGTAGTCAGATGTTACTGAGGAGTAAATTGTAAAATTGCAAAGAAGGAAACTACCTTATTTAATATGGCAAAAAATACTTGACATGGTTTACCATAAGGTTTTGTTTCTTTTAGTTATTTACATGAAATTACAATTCACTATGGCTGATGCGACTGTAAACTATCGAGACAACATAATTATCCACACAAGCTTTGAGGAGATTAATGAAACGAAGGTACACGGGAATTAATTAGTTAACTTACAACCTAACATAATGCTCATAGAGCTCAAATGCCTAAGCAAACGTCGTGCTTGGATTTGTTGTTATTAACAGAAGTTGGCGTTTTACTTTTCGTTGGCTTTGACTGTTTAAATTTAAATGTACCCACACCAGTTCACGCGCTGACATTTGCTTGGCTAATGGCCCCTGGATTCGCGCTAAATCTATCATTGAAATTAGCACATTTACTTATTTTGATTGCAAACCTACTCTACGAGTATGCTTACAAATCTACGGGATATCTTTACAATCTCCAGAATTAAGCAAATCACTGCAGAGGAGGAACACCAAGGCGTTCAGTTAAATCGTTTAATCGCTGTTTGTGTCCCTAAAACTACCAGCGTCTTCCACCGTACACACTGAGGCGTATTACGGGTGGCATTATAGTCTCTTAGAATAATCGGTTAATTTGCTACTCTTCATATTCTATTATAGCCATAAGGTATTTCTCCCAGTGTCTAAACACAACCAGCCTATTACAGAACTAATCTGCATTACAAACAACACGATTTTATAAAACTATGTTACCATGCGTTCATAAAACTGGAGCAAATGACAGCTTGTGAACCGGGCAGAACAAAGAACACAGTTATGGCCAGAGATGCGCAAAGCATTAAATGAATTTGTTTCTCTGAATTGCATTTTAGATTTTATAAATAAAGCAACGAACCTATCATGCTGGTGAGAGTTGAAATGAGATAGTGTTATGAGATATAGAATTGTTAATTAAAGGTATCCGGGCGATTTCCGCTATGAATTAATTTCACAGCAGGAAACGAAGTATGTTAACTAATCCTGCAGAAAATAGTTTCGCGTCTCTGACTAAAGGTGGCGTGCCCAGATGTGTAAACAGCATTTTATTTTGTACTTACTTTGGGAATGTCTATCACAATTTTGAAACGAAACCAATTTGAAGTTTCATTTATGATATATAGTACGTTTGTCATTTAACACACTGGTGTAATTTAGTAAAGTTGAATGACTCAGCAGTAATGAGTAAGATAAATGTTACACGCCACGTCGTTTCAAAACACAACTAAAGTACCTTTCTTCCTAATAATGTTGGTGATACCTGCCATGTCTCTGATACGTACAGCTGAATAAATAAGTTGGGACTAGCTACGTAATGTTTGGCACTGAATTGCTCCTTTGGGGTTTAGATTGCTACATGCGATCTTCATTGGGAGGTTAATCTACTTTGAAGTATATCACGTTCAATCAAAATATTAGGAACTTATCCGAATTGGAAAGATGGCAGTGTAGCTGATTCTCATTACTACAATGAACGACCGGTTTCGTCCTTTTGTGTTTCAACTATTAAATGTAGCCGGATACTTCCAATACAAAATATGAAATGCCTAATTGTTTTCATTAATCTTGCATGCAAACTCAACGGTCTGGTGATAATGGCGTCAACCCTTAACCACTAGATCCCGAGTTTCCATTCCATCACAATTATATCTTCCTAGTACGTAAATACGAAGACAAAATCGGGCATGTGCTACAGCGTTTGAGTCATTCACACAGCGACAAAGTTTTAATTTCCTTAAAATCAATGCGCTTGTTTTATGTGCTTTTTGGCAGTGAAGCAGGACAACATAAACGGCATTTCAAATGTGTGTTGCTAGTCATTTGCACAATTTATTGCTAACCACATCTAAGCTAATGACGGGTATTAACATCTGAAAATATTTTCACATAACATTACCAGCCATTTTTAGCTATCCAAAATCATTCTTGATACCTCTCCGTTTCTGAACGCTGTAATAGCTTAAATTCAAGTCTCAGCAGTGCATGTTGTCCTCGGAAAACGTTTGGTATTTTTCGATAATTTGTTGGCTATATATATGTATATATATGGAAAAATCGGCTAAATCAACATCAAGGAGAGGTTTACAGCTTAAATTGGATAGTACCATTACATTCTAATACAAACTATCAACATTGTGTCTACATCGAGACATTTCTTGGACGTAGGTAGTTTAAATTCTGTTACAAAAATTAGGTTTCACGCAATGATCCCCGTTCACTTGCAGTCCTCTCAATATAAGCTGACAAATAAGCGGATTCTTTAATAGCCAGCTTACGGTTAGTGTGCACAGTGTTCCAAATGCATCGAACCGCAACATGTTTTCATCGTATAATCAAGCCGTAAGCACAAAGCTCGATA